AATAAATTCCTATCCGGAAAGCATTAAGCGTATCACAGCGTCTGAGATTGGCAGGCGGCTATGAAACACTGATCCCATGCTTCTACGACACAGGGATACAGATGTTGTTACCGCGGAATGACAAAATGTCTGTATTCAGGTGTGAGTACGTGTAAATGTAGTCAAGCACCTGACGTATATGCTACAATGTTCCCACGATTTCGCATTTCGATACTGGCTGGGTAGCTGTTTAAATTCAGCCGCTGTCTAGAGAACTCTAGCCGACGAAATATTTTCGATGACGTAATGTTTCCTTATTGATGACGACCTAGAAAACTTGCTTTCTGGGTGCACCTTGTACCATGTATATTCTTTTACTTCTTCTTCTTCTTCTTCTTCTTCTTCTTCTTCTTCTTCTTCTTCTTCTTCTTCTACTTCATCATTTGCTTGAGCATCTCCCCAACACCCTTAGTAGTTGTCCCTGCCCTTGCGGTCCTATGGCCCGAGTAATTTCATTTTATTACGCCCTAGATTCAAAACTCAAAATCTACTCTCAACCAAATCCCATTTTCATAAAAGTTAAATTCCCAACACATTATTCACTCAAACGGACGCTTTATACGCTCAATGGAACACTTTGGTAAACCTTCAGTCTGAAAACTCCTTAAGCGGTGCGTCTTTTAACGCACCAAAAACACGTTTTCACTCCTTATGTTTTCGCATAGAATATCCATAAACAACGTTCATGTTTACTTATGACTAGTCGGCGCGTTGCCGAGGTAAAAGGCAACGAGAAATTTCGTAAAAAAGAGAAAAATTCGTGTACGCATGCGTGTTGTGGTCGCGTAACAAGTCTGAGAATTATAAATCACGGGGAATCTGCGAAAGAGAAGTACGTGTCTTCGTTTCGGCTTTCTGATTATTCTCGTGGTTTAAAGCAGAAGGTCGAATGCGCTGTGGGCTTGTTTGCTGTGTGAGCGATAGGGAACAATACAAATCGTCTGCCTGCCTGCTCTTATATTGTCGGTGCGCAAAATCGTGACACCTCTCAAATACCATATTTTTGGGATTAAGTGATGAACAGTCCTTTGTTATTGTTAAAAATATCATAAAGGAAGTCTATTAAACAACCAGTGTGCACAGTAAAACACTTTGGATTTGCCGCGAAGTAAACGGCTCAGCCCAGACTAAAACATTTCACCTGCAAAATGGGAATTTCAGTGCACCAATTTTATATCATTGTCTTGCAAACGATAAGAAATAATTAATGTATGTGCATACAGTTATGTGTTTTATACTTAATGATCTTTCAAGTATTGATTTTTTACACGCCACATTAATTGTTTGTAAAAAACATGTAAATAAATCAAAGACATTATTTTTTCATGAAGATTGTTGCTAATTAAAAACAAAATATTCTATTCTAGCGTAGCCTATTTGTACATTAATAGTAGAAAACTATCAAATAAAACTACTAATTTTAAGTAATTGTTGATGTCATAATAAAATATCCGAAAATAATTGAGTTCTTTAAGCTGAAATTTAGTCCCACTTCTAAAAGGTATTATTTCAGAAAATGGAAAACTTAAGCGTTTTTCAAGATAATCCTCACTTTCTAGCTTGCATTACATAATTATTTATTCATTTCATGATTTGAAAATTATTTCAATTATTTCGTACTTTCAATTTGTTATAAATTCTAAATAAATCGTCGGAAAGTTTTAGGCACTTGCGATGACCATAGCTGGAAAGACATTTTGCCCTTCACTACTTTTTCGGGATCACGAACTCAAAAAAGTGGATTCTGTCGGCACATCGTGTAAATGAAGTATTTTACTGCATAGGGGAACGAGAGTTCCACTTTAATATCATTAGGGCCTCAGAATAAGAGTTTTTTCGCAGAAAATCGCAGTTTTCCGGCGTACAATTGTAATAGTTTCTACTGCATTAGTAGCATGCAAGAAAGTAAAACATCATACAAATTGCATAGTGATGTTAATTCCGTTTTCATATGCTCTTTAGATTATGCTTGATCTCTTGATAATAACAAAGCCAACGAAAACGTCACGTCGTTCAAATAAAAATAAAACTGTTGACATAATGATGTCGCCTGACATTATTATTTCAATGTCAACACCTGACAAGTAAATCAATATGCGAGTGTTATCACACACAGAGCAATTTTGATCGTGGTGTTGAGTGAATTCAGGTGTGGCCTCGAATCTTTTCCCTTAACGATTCGTATAACACACTTCTCGATTTTGACAACAGTTAATTGAACGGAGGTTTTTTCTCGGTTACCACATAAAATCTTAATAAAATTCGGATTCTGCATGGACTCTCAATATCTCTCCACATATGTAGAGAACATAATTCATGTATTCCATAATTGTGTATTGTTTAATATGAGCAATCTTATGAAACGCTATTGAACCGGATCATTGCTTTTGTCCTGCCATCATCCTCGTTATGAAGATTGCATCGGTTCAGAAATACACTTCAAACATTTTGATGGTAAATATTTTAATGCTGTACCTACAGATCCAATTCCATTCCCAAACGTGTTCATTTCTGGAGATGAATATGCATAAAGATTCGTGGTCGTTCCTCTGTATTGACGAGGACTGAATGTGAGAGTTAAAACATTTTCCTCAGTGATCCAGAAGTTGGTGCTTTTAATGGCATATGTACGAGAACACAACAGTTATCATGGGCAAAGCTAGGCTTTTTTTACCTCAGTTTCGAAAACTAACTTTTATTCTGACTTAATTGTAAATTATATCACGTATAAATGAAAACTTATGAACATTTTAAAACGACATTATCTTTAATGTATTATTATTATTACTATTATTATTACTATTATTATTATTACTATTATTATTATTACTATTATTATTATTATTACTATTCTTATTAACTTGATTATTAATGTTATTTTCGTCCATTATGACATTTTACGCTTCAAAATATTAGTACTGTGTTCTCTGCAACGTTTGCTGCCATGTACTAAAAAATTGCACATTCGTATTAAATATGAGTAGAATTCACTTTTTATGTCACGTAATTTTTATTTGATTCAGAATGAAAGTTGTTTAATAATGTATGTACAAAAACGTTAAGGCCATGTCAATGTGTTTATAGGAGAGGATTGGCCGTCCTAACTCCAGGAGAGACATTCAGGATTGGACTTCCAAATATAATCGAAAGGTTGAGTTGCCAATCTCAATGTGCAATGGTGGTAGAGTAAGAATATAACCTTAAAAAGTGAATGATTGGGGAAATAATTTGCATATGTATAATATACACTAAATTTTGGTATACAGCAAAAACAAGCTTTTTGAAGATCACTCAAGAAGCATTAAAACAATTTATGCACTGGTAATAAATTTTCTATGCATTTTAATAACCATTTATATGATGATGGCCGTAAGACAGTAATTCAATTTATTTGCAGATTTTATCGACTTTATTAGGAACCAGACATTTAAACTGCAATTATTCTATCTGAACACGTTCTGCTGAATTGATTTTTACGCTACGATTTTCAATCCTAGCACGTTTAACATACATTATGTTTCTCTCCATATATTTATTTAATTTGATCCACTCAATGAAACCAGCTCTACCTGTCTTCACTGAAGATGTTTGGAACTTGGCAGGTGCATATTATATACTTAATGAACTCTCTCATTTTCTTTTAAATTAACACAATCTTTTAATAATTTATATGAGTCGTGATTCGCGTAAGAAAGGTGCATTAGCGATTATGTAAAATACCTTCATACTTGTAATAATATCCTTAGGGTTTGAAGCTTATAAAATATTTTCGGCAGAATTCAGGTGTTAAAAACAATACGAATATCTCAGGAATTTTAATTTACGGATAATAGCCATCTAATATAGACTGCATGCTCATTAATTCTTGACAATTTGGTAATAATTTCTTCCTCTGCCTCTAATTTAAAATAAAGTTGGTCTGACGTCTACATAATTCGTACGTTAGTCATTCTAGCCCCCCCCTCTCACACACAATTTACATACATACATACATACATACATAATACGTACATACATTCATACATACACAACACACCCTCCTCGCTTTGAAGGATATACCTGACTATTAACCAAGGCTCAGTGATCAAACGATTATCAGAGTAATATTGCGATCATTCGCACATTTTACGTGGTATTCTTTGATAGACAAAAGACTGAACTCTGATGAGATATTTCTTGTTCCAAATCTTGTGTGCGAGACATTTAAAAACAATGTTTGTAACTTTTATTTGACTTAGTAACTTTCTTGGCGTTTATTTCCAGGAAATGGAAAGTTAAATAAACCAAACTTTGGAATCACACTGAAATTTTTGCATTGTTCGTCACTTGTAACCTCACGTACTGAAAATTTCCAACCAAAATTTTTATTGAAAAAAGTATTACAATAGCTTTTAAGAAAACTATATTTACCTCTCGTTATCGTTCAGATAATGATTGTAAATTCTAGCTAATAACAAATTAAATGATATAGTATGTATTAAATTTACGAGCAATGCGTAGCAGGGCTTTCGTAATTCATTAAGATAATATTTTCCCCCAGTGATATTAACTTTTCTTCAACCTAAGTTTCCCCTCTTAGGTCGGTAGTTTGTGTGATAAATAGAGCACAAATAATCACGATAACCGCATATATGAGATACTACTAATCGCTGATTATTCATTTTCTCATATGACAAGGTTGGATCTGCTACTAGTAGATTTGAAAATCTTCAAAATTGTATCGTGTTTATGCTGTTCCCTGAAATATAGTTCTCTCTGTACTATGAACTATTTTTCAATCATTTGCTTCTGTGCGATTTATGCATTTATTTTAATATGTAATGCATGCACATTACAGTAAAAAATCGTTAGCATGTTTTGAACCAACTATTGCGGAAGTTTTGTCACAAATCAAGTAAAACATACTATTAATGCATTTTAACATATCGTTCGTTTGTTTTTGTAAGGAAAATGACTTTTAACTAAAACCATGAAATTTGAGAGTGCTGCTGATAAATGTTTTTTTGCAGACAGTATTTTGTGTACAATAAACCAAGATATTTCTGAAGAATGCATTGCTAAAGAATCTTGAGAGATAGAGCTGTATTCGTTTTCCCGATAAGTGGAGAGTACGTTTTTTTACTTGACACCATGAAGTATCTCTCTGTTTTTTCGCATTTCTGAACATCATTCTTTTGCCGTGTGAGCCATCGAAATGATTGTGAATTACCCAACTAGCAAAATGAGGCGTCGCTGACGCTGTAAACTCTTTTAAAAATAGTTTCATTTGTAGAAAAGTTTCTTCATACTTCGTATCTTTCATTCGCTGCTTTGTTTAAATATGTTCTTTTTAGTATCTGGTATTGAACTTTTCAACGAATCGTAGTAGCTTATAATGTTATACTCCCTTTCAAAAGTTCCCAGCACCCAATAGCCTTGTGTGTTACCTCCATACGGGATATGAACTGGTTTTATTCCATTTCAAAATTATAATCACCGTAACAAAATATTCATGCTCATAGTTAAATTTTAGTACAGCTATATTTTTACGCATTTCTGCTAATATCCACAAAAATGCACATCGCACATTTGCATTAGCACAAATGCTAAATGCAAAAATACTGATCATTCCGAATTAGTTCCGAAAATTATATCGCAACATCTTTAATAACCACATTTGATTCTTCCCCGGCTTTACTTCACACTTCCATATTTTTCTCCCCTAATTTTTGAAGAGATTAAAACTTCACAAACTTAGTCAAATTTATGTTTGTTTCTACTTCTAGAATTACTCTATTAATCGTTTTGTATGCGAATCTAGCGTTGTATGCGAATATAACATTAAAAAGTTAAGTAACTTAATTAGAATAAGAATAAGTTGTCACACTTATTTAAATACGGTATTTACACACTCATGTAAAAACCTAAAAGTGCGAACTCGAACATAAGACGATAATAAGTCGACTCTAAATTGAAATCAAACTGCAGCGCAATGAACTTGGTAATTCAATTATTCACTTAAACATGTCAACATCAGTGTTACCAAGGTCCTGAGAGAAAACTATGGCGTATTAAGCAAAAAAAATGCCTTTGGGGTTCTGGTATTTAATCACCACCACATGCGTAGATCGATTTAGGAGGCGTGGGTTTAATTCCTGGCATTATCACTGAGGTCGCAGGGCCAAATCACGGAAAAAACTTTTTGGAAATTTATTTAAATCTTCTAGCGGTATCCGAAAACAAATTATCAGTTCACCATCAGGAGACCGAGACGCGTCGAAAGACGTCTCATACGTCTCGTCTGGTGCAAGGGAAGTGGTCTAGAGACGGAATGACAAAAACACGTACTTGCACGTCCCCACACCCAGAAGCTTTGAGGAAATACTGTATAGTGATATGATTATCATCGTAATCATCGTCATCATCATGGTTGCACAAGAACCTGACAACTGTTTACACCTCCTCGCGGTCAAAGGCTGAACTAACCTGGATTTTTTATGTTTTGATTACAGAAGGCGCCGACAGATGGCACCGCCGCTGCCCCGAGCGCCGCCGCGCGCGCTGCTCATGGGCCTTTGGCTTCTACTCCTGCAGGTAGGCAATTTGCGCTGCACTCATGCGTTGAGAGACCGACAGGGGCAAACTGCAACAGAACGTTTAATATTTCATTTAATAAATCCATATGTTAAGGAATTCCATAATTTAGTACTTATATTTTGTAAGATTAATCTATATTAATAATCTTAGTCATAACTAAGGTTTTTAATACGACTGGATAAAATAACAACAACAACAACAACAACAACAATAATAATAATAATAATAATAATAATAATAATAATACCTAGTAATAAATAATATCAATATACGCGGAATGGAAAGACAATGGAAAAATTTTACGTTTTAGATGACTTTATGCATAATTTCGTTTCGTGGATCTTGCCTACACCGCATCAGGCTCTTAAATAAATCTTAAGGTATATTACTACTAATATTTGAATATTAAGAAAAAATAGGTATTATCACATCAAATGTAATGAAAAGACAGCTAAAGTTAAGAAAACTGCTTATATGTTTTACTTTAGCTTTACAAACAAACTTTTGCTTTTTTGTGCCACACGATCAATACATCAGTCAAAGAGTCGGAGGAATTTCTTAAATACAAGAATTTGAAAATTGAGATGTCTCGAATGTGTGTGCGTATAACAAATCATGTAGATAGTTTTAGGAATTCCGTGATCTTTTTCTGGAATTCAGGCTGTGGTAGAGGTCAATCTGCCGCCCTTCGGCACCGGTCTTGAATATCATGCCACAAACTGTGCTCCGGCTTTTGAACTGACGATCTGACGAAAATATACACATGCCATATAGCTGGAGAATGCACATCTTTTATTTCAATTTCCGCGAGTATTAGATATTAGTTATGTACGTGTAGTAAGATGTGCGCAAATGAAAGTGAAATTCGTTTTTTTATGCAATTGTTAATCGCTTGCTATATAGTTTATGATCACGGTGCCAGAGTAATTCACGTTCACAATCAAGTTTATGATCACGGTGCAAGAGTAATTCACGGACGACAAAGCTGATCGCACTCCAGATCGCCCACAGGTCGCCCTTCCCTCTTCAAGCAAATGTCAAGGGCATCTAATATTTCAATGTGGTAAGCGATTGTTCAAAACATTACGTAACTCTAAAAAGGTGGCAGGAGTTGAAACAGCGTAACGCTGCGTTACAGGGGTTGTGAGTTTGAAGAGTAACGTAACACTTTTTTTTAAATTTTTCAACACATACTGAAATAATTCCGTATGGGTTCCGGTGGGAAAAGGCTGATATCAAAGGAAAATATGTTACAAATTATAAAAGATAATATACTAAATAATGTAAATAGAATAAATTTCAAGCCATTGTAACATGTTAATTCATTGATAAATATATTTTTAAATAGAAATCCGGAGTAATGGTAAAAGAATTTTGAAAATAAGTGCCAACACTGTGAAATTTCGAATGCGATGACATTTTCATTATACATTATATAACACATTGTACAATCAATTATAGTAATTATAAATTATGTAATTTTTGTTGTAAGATTTATAATATATCGCAATTAAATAAATATCTTCGCAAAAGTGACATGATGATGTTAGTAGTTACTAGAAGGTATGCTTTTAATAGCACTTATATTTATTACGAAACTGATCTCGATTTCTTAAATCATATAAGTAGATAAACATTACAGTCTGTATTTCTTTAAATTATTTTCTTGCAAATTTGTTGAGTTACACCCAAGCATATACTTTTACGAGAACTGTAGTGCAAGCAGTGCTAACGAGACATTTGAAAGGCAAGCGACGGGGCGCAGTGAGGCCCATTCACAATGCCAACATAAGCATGGCGTTAACATAAAAGTTAGGACTACGTCCATAAGCGGACTCATTCACAATGCGTTCGCATAAGCATAGCACGTAAGAGGTTAACTTAAAAACTTGCAAGCTTCAAGCTTCTGTGCATATGCTTAAGTAAGACATAAGAAATGAACCACAGAAGGGTAATTCAAAATCGAGTATCGAAATAGGATCTAAGTCGATAGACAAACTAACGCCATCTACACACGATGGCGTTGGACAAACAGAAGACCAAATAATACTTTAGAAGTGTACTGTAGAGCTCTTTGCAAAATACTATGGTTTGGTTCTTCTGATTACGTTTTGCGTGGGCACTTGTTTAAGTCAAACGCATGAGCCCTGGACACAGTCGATATCTCGAAATCGATTCTCACATCCAACCAAACTAGAATGTCTGACCAACCAAGTAAACTAGAATGTCTGACAGCCAATATAAACTCTTATTTTGCTTATGTTTATGTTAGACACTGTGACTGCTTCAGTCTACCCCTTATGTTGATGTTTACGTGATAAACACTGTGAATGGTGCTAAGTGAGTGCGCGCATGCGCAGGCGCTGCGGCCGGCGGGCGTGGAGGGCCACGCGCGCCTCATGGACCCGCCCGCGCGCAACAGCATGTGGCGCCTGGGCTTCCCCAACCCCGTCGACTACGACGACAACGAGCTCTACTGCGGCGGCTGGTCAGGTACGCCTCCCCTCCCACCTCCCTCCCTTCTCCCTTCAGTGCTGACGCGAGTGCTGAGGCCAGGGTGAGCCAGTTGCTGAGCCAGTGCTGACGCAGTGCTGAGCCAGTGCGAGCCCAGTGGAAGCAGTATGAGCCCAGTGCTGAGGTGCAGTGCGTGGAGCCCAGTGTGAGCCAGAGCTGAGCCAGAGCTGAGCCGCAGAGTGACAGAGTGAGCCCAGAGCTGGCCAGTCTGAGCAGTGCTGACCCAGTGCTGCCGCAGTGCTGAGCCAGTGCTGAGCCCAGTGCTGAGCAGTGCTGAGCCCAGTGTGATTCCCAGAGAGTGAGCCATGCGACCAGTGGTGATCAGTGCTGCCCAGTGCTGAGTCCAGTGTGAGCCCATGCTGAGCAGTGCTGAGCCGGTTGCGGCCCAGTTCGAGCCAGAGCGTGAGCCAGGCTGAGGCCAGAGCTGAGTCCCAGTGTGACCAGTGCTGAGCCAGTGTGAGCCAGTGCTGAGCCCAGTGCTGAGCAGTGCTGCCCAGGCTGACCAGGCTGAGCCCAGGCCGAGCCAGATGCTGAAGCCAGGCTGAGGCCAGAGGCTGAGCCCAGCTGAGCCCAGATGCTGAGCCATGCTGAGCCCAGTGCTGAGCCCAGTGCTGACCCGCTGCGAGCCCATGCTGAGCCAGTCTGAGCCCAGTGCTGACCCAGTGCCGAGCCAGTAGCTGAGCCAGAGCGAGCCAGAGTGAGCCCAGAGCTGACCAGGCGCAGAGACTGAGCCGGTGAAGCCCGACTGACCGAGCTAAGCATGAGCCCAGAGCTGAGGCCAGGAGCCGTGCAGCCCAGCTGAGCCCATGCTGCAGTCCTGAGCCAGTCTGAGCCCAGTAGCTGAAGCCCAAGCTGAGCCAGAGCTAGCCCAGAGCTAGAGCCAGAAGCTGCAGCCAGAGCAGAGCCCAGAAGCTGAGATCGATGCTGAGCGCGGCGTGCGCAGGAGGGGCCTGCGTGGCTGAGCTGGGGGCGTTGCAGTGCAGCACCAGCAGAACGGCGGCCGCTGCGGCGTGTGCGGCGACCCCTGGAATCAGCGCGAGCCGCGGGCGCACGAGGCGGGCGGCAAGTTCGCCAAGGGCATCATCGGCCGCCGCTACACCGTTGGACAGGTACTCGGACCTCCTCCCCCAATTTGGGTTGATAGCTAACAGGGTCCTGCTCTCGCATTATCTCCTCAGATGTCTGCGTATGTTACAGACAGGAAACTCTTCTCAAGCTATCTTTTTCTGTGATTTTGGGGTAACGAACTAGAGCACGTTGGTCTCTCACACTACCTATTTTTCTAATGATGTGGTACTTACATTTGACTTCCCCGAACCCGGCTATAAATTTTTCCTTTCTGTAGAGGCTACTAAGGGAAAAAAGCTACTGATACAAATTTAAGAAAAGACTCTTAAATCTTATTCGTAATCGTGCCATTCAACAATAATCAATGCTTATTCTTCTTTTGTTATCTTGTACTCCACAAACTGATACACAATTTTCTTAATTATCATAAATGATGGTTTCCAATGTTCATTTTACCTTTTGAAATCGCTCTTTTCCTCTTAAAATCAAGCATGCCATCCATAGTTGGGGCCAACGCACTGGATTTTGAATTGCTATTCCTTTACGAACCACGTCAATAATAAATATGTACTGGCACCGGTCTCTTCCATGAAACCTTATTCCATAAACAAATAAATATTTGGATTTTTGAGTAAAAATTGTTCTCTGAAATCTTCCAATGTCTGCATTCACAAATGCCGTCGTCTCTGAACTGTTCCTATGTGTGATTTGCATGAAGAAAAGAGTCTTCTCAAGTTAATATCTTTCTCTATACATCTTTATTTTATATTCCCTACAACATTTGTTTGTTATTTAGAATTTTCAATAAATATGTATAATTATTTTTTCCTTTGGAATTACCTACCCAAGAGTTTACTAATCAATAAGAAACTTCTTAACATATTTTGCGGATGCACATCACCTTACATTAAACATTTAGCCTAACAGCAAATGTCGTTAAATTTTATTGGTCTTCATACATAAAATTGCTCAAATGTAATTCTACAAATATCTATGTAACTTTTTCACGTTCAAAATGATTAACAATAAATGTATTTTCTGTTACAGGATATTACTATCGAAGTTGATTTGACATCAAATCATTACGGATATTTCGAAGCAAAAATATGTCCGAACAATAACCCTAGATACGAAGCAACGCAAGAGTGCTTCGACAGGTCAGTAAAATTTCTGATACCTACGAAAAATCTTGTTTTTAAAAATGTCACAATGGGCCCAGAAACAAAAAAATTTACAAACGCACTAGTAACCTGTACGTCGTGTAGTCTCTATAGTAGAACATAATTAAAACTAATCATATCTTAATTTGAACACACTACTTTTGTCACACTATTACCATCAAATGCTCGTTCGAAATCTTGACAATTTCAATTGTGCCAACACAAGTCCACTGCTGTAAATTAGTATGTTCCTTTCGTTATGCAGACATCCCGAACAGACCAAAATGACAGCGCCATTTTCTCTGACTGACGCAGCTTACGTTAGCAAAACCAAACCGTACTGTTGGTGCCTGATACAGAAAAATCTGATAGTTCTTGTTGCTGTATTACTTCCCCTTAACACGTCATGTAGTCAGAATCATTTTTTCTAAGTGTTTGATACCGAAAATTGGTTCACGGCAAATTGTGTCTGCGCGGCTGTCTGTACACAACTCTTCCTACGCAATTCTTACAAGATACACTGTAATAAGAATATTTCCCAAAACTTGCATTCTCTATCCATCAGTATTTCACTTATATCAAAATTTATGCAATATTCATGAACATTTCTATATATTAATACATATCTGACCATTATTATTTATATTTCGAGTACTACCCAGTAATGAAATATTGAAATTATCTTGAAATAACGTACTTTTCCTGCCGATTGGAATCAGATAAGATTACTTTCTTCCAGCATCAGGAGATTGATGTGCAGAGAAAATCACTAATTTTCCTCGCATCAGTAATGAATGATTTAGTTGGTGTGCTTTCTTTCAGCGTACACTTTCATTGCTCTGTTCCTCTCACTGCCGATCGAAGAAAGTACGTACGTAGCTCATAAAACTTTCGTTCTTGAAACAGTTTCGCGGCACATAATGTTTCGCTTTTCTGCGTTTCCCAGACTATCAATGGAAAGGAACGCAGCCTATCACTGGAAAAAAAACAGGAAAAAATACTTCAAAATATTCTTGATATGACAGGCTTTTTACGCTTCAAAGACAATAACCATTATTATAATAATTACAATACATATTTTTAAATAGTAAACAGATTTAATTTGTTAGTCATGTAATTTATATAAATATATCTTTTGTGAGATAAATAGTTACGGATTTTTAACAGTGTTAATGTTATAAAATAATTTGGTGATTAATTTACTCAAAAGAAAGGACGGCCACATATATTAGACAGCAATTTGGCTCTGGAGTGACTGTTAGTAGAATGCAAAATTGACACCATACTCGTGTAATCAAGTACCTTCTCAAACACCTTCGTAATACCTTACAAAATATGGCTAACAATGTCCATAAACACACGAATTGAAATATCTGACGCCATCAATAATGATGCAAGAATAATATTTGTGTCATACTTCACATACTTCATACTTCACAAGTATACTTGTGTCATACTTCGAATCTCGATGCATTCTCGTAGAACGAACTGTTTGGAAAAGCATAATCGTAATGCGTTCCGCCTTCTGTTGTAAATATAAACGGACAAATGTACGAGTATGTGAATGTTTGAAAAAAAAAAAAGTTCACATAAGTTCACGCTGAAAGGTTAAGTTATCATCCAAAGCGCGTGCTACTTCCACAGATTATGTTAATATAGTAAATAAACGACTGCCTCGCCAGGGCTGGCAGTGGCGGTGTAAGAGTTAAAAAAAATAAATAAATTTAAAAAAACTCTGAATAAAGTGTCGGCGTGCGGCGTGTGCAGGTACCCGCTGTACGTGTCGGGTACGCGGGACGTGGCAATGCAGATCCCGCCCGACACGCCCAAGAAGGCCTACCTGCCGTACCGGGTGCGCCTGCCGCCCTACCTCACGTGCACGCAGTGCGTCATCCAGTGGACGTACTACACAGGTGGGTCGCTTTCCCCGGAGCGCGCGCTCACCACCTTCGAAGCGCAGGGCTCACAACTGAAGGCCAACTGAAGGGCTCGCCTAAGCACAAAGGCGCATGGTGTGACTGTGTACCCAAGCTCGCGGGTTCAAAACCCGATTCGAAGCCGTGATTTAGGGCGACAAAATCCTTCGGAGGGGAAGTTAAAGCGGCTGTCCCCATGTTAAGTAGATTTTCTTTCTATGGGAATTAGTATACCCTCAAGGCGTAAATGACACCTCTTGCAGCCTAAATTCAAATCGACAGTTTCTCGCCCAAGAAATACCCCTTTCTCTGCTAGTTGGTGAAAGGAGCACGTGCGAAATTTGCGTTGGGTCAGACGGAAGAGCGGGCCTGATGGCCCGAGTCTCGCACCTAAAAATTAAGGCAAATTCAATTCAACACCGGAGCAATCACCACATTGACCTAGTCTGAGTATTGAGGGTTCTATATGAAATCAGTACATTTTAAACTTTTAAACGCAACACAGAATATTTACGTAATCGAATATTACACAAGTCAAAGAATTTGAGGCAATCAACGTTGTTAAAACTTTATATTTCTATATCGAAAGGCCAATATAATTGATTTACACATACCCATTAATTTTATAGTAGATCGTTTAAAATAACTTACTTGCTAATTTAAGGTTACTTGTAGAAAATAAGTTAATAAAATAAACTATTATTACTACTATTATACAATTACTACTATTAATTGTCATTATTATTATAATTACTATTATATTGTAATTGTTTTTATATATAAGTTTATTATTAGTGTTGTATTGTTAACGTAAATTAGTGTGCTGCCTGTCGGTGCAGGGAACAGTGTGGGCATCTGCCCCGGACTAACGGCACAGGACAGCCAACGCTGCGGCACCGGCCCGAGTGCTGTTCCGCAACTGCGCCGACGTGTCGGTGGTGACGACCACCGCCGGCACTCCCCGACCGCCCTTCGGTCAGCAGCGCAGGACAGAGCCCCGTTCCTGCCTCAGTCTACCGCGACCTGCGGCGCGCCCCTACCAGGTCACGCCCCGCTCGTCCGTCAGCTCAGTCGCTTGCACGGCCTACAAAACTGCACCAGCTGCCGCTTCCAGACCAAATGTGTCGGCATTCTAGGGGATTAAGCAGGTTGTCGAAGATGATCACTTTTGCCGATGAACAACGCAACGGGAAAGCACATTATAACGAGCGTACGCATGACCGATCTTTCACAACTGGCGCCTAAATGGTAGTAACTCATTTCTCCCTGATGTTGGGTAGTTACACACACTTTCAGTGTTGATTTGACCAATGGCAATGACAATATCGACTTTATGTCTTATTGTTCATCTTTGGATGTGTCTGATCGTGCATACGCCTCAATCACGCATGACATGCATCTATCCTCATAGTCGTCAAAATGAATTTATGTGATGGTTAGACCCGTCCCTAAAAATTTCGAACACCAGCCAAACACCAGTACAAATGAATGCTTACTAGGCAGGGACGTGACATCTAAAATGGGCATGTTGTAGATTGTTATTCAGATCCCACTACAAATACATGTGTAAAATGATAATCTTGGATTCCCTTACAAGCTTCTAGAAAGTGGTAATAATTTATTCTAAACCTTACCTGTATATTCATTATTACTATGAAAAGATCATTTTATTTTTCCCTGACAACTTTACAATGTTTTATCCATCGTCAGAAAGTTTATTCTTACATCTAAAGTTGCCTTTCACGAGGTTAAGTTATCCATATATGACTTTCCGTGTAGGATCCATAAATAGTCGCGAGAATAAAACTAAAGCAAAAAAAATCCGCTGCGATCGTGAAGAACATACTCTTGAGAAGGAAGAAAATAAATGTTGTTATAATTATTGTTATTGTTGTTGTTAACAGGTATATACTGCACCAAACACATTCCTATCGAGGTTTCGAACGTACTCGAGTACACAACATTCCTAACGTGCTAGAGATGACAAAAGGCCAAAGAGCCTTTATCTGGCCGAACGCGCACCGATTTTTGTCGTCTGAAACTTCTAACCAGCCCGTGACGACGCCTCTAACTTGCACATAACCACAACTATAATATTATATATTTTTACCTAATTTTAATTATTCAGATTGAACCTATTTCATCCTAATATAGCAAAATGTAATTATACTCTGGTCTTTTTCATATCTCCCTCCATCCAGGAAACGAGATCACTCAACTGTTTTCGTATTTCCCTCGTAAACCAGGATCCTCTCAATCCAGGTAAAATCTCGTATGTAGTGTACATCGAGCCTCCGTACTTTGATGATAAATAATATAGCAAGACGTATCAGTAAAAAAATAAATTCAATTCCGACAATCTTTCCGTCGTAACAAAAGTGCTATAAATTAATTCCGAAAAAAAAAAACTTGTGTATAAATACTAAATAGTCTTTGCGGAGTGCC